TAGATTAGAAACATTGCAATTAGAAACAATAAATGAGATTAGCACTGAAAGTTGTGTGAATAGTAACTATGAAAAAAAGGACTTAGGCAGCATGAAAAGATMTCTGGATGTTTAAATAATTCTTTCTTCTACTCAGCTCTTTTCTCAATAAGCACACAAAATAGAACTCAGGTAAAAGGACACTTACTATTTTTAGCCTCATTTCTTRAAAGAATGAGGCTTATGCAATCTTGCTGTCATTTGACACGTACATTGGCAATAGCCATTGAATCCATTCTTTAATTTTACACTTGATTTTAAAGAGCTGGAGGAACCAGATACTCTACTTTTTGTGTTGAGGGAAYGAAAAAATATCTGTGGCTAGATAACACAGACACAAATTAGTTCCCTGACTGAGACAAAGGCACTTTTAATTCAACCCTTCATTCATTCAGAGGGGCAGCATTTAACACACCAGTGGCTCTAAAGAAGGCACAGAACAAACTGCAATTTCTGCAGTCAAATAGAAAGGGAAGAGGACATTCACAGCAACACGCGCAGGATGGGCAGAGGGTGGTGTAGTTATTATTTATTAACCATGATTTTTGCTGTTTATAAAGCAGCCTGTTAATTCTCAACACTGTTAGCAGCCTCTTGAGTATCATCCAGACACCAGGATGAAAATACATTTTAATCACTTTTCTTCTTGGCACATTTCTGTAAGTGTTTCTGACATTGCCTCCACTAAAATTAAATAAATTAACTTTCTACCTCCCCTTCAAAGAGGCAAAATATTACAACTCTGATTTTAAAAGAGGATAAATGGCAAGTTTTGCTGAAGAAGTTCACTGGCTGAAGAACTCAAGTCAGAACATCCTCAGCTTCCCAGACAAGCATTCTTCACTTGTGGAAAGCACTCAGATTTAACAATAACTCTTTCTACAGGTGTCATATGTCACAAATAAATTTAAAATTGGACTAGATGACCTTTAAAGGTCCCTTCCACCYRAACTATTCTATGATTCCATGACCTTTAACTTTGCCACCTATACTTCCTGGGAGCTCATTTCACAGAAACTTTTGCTTAAATGTCTTTCTCTGCTTTTTTTTTGGTTGTTTTTTACCAGAAAGTTGTGACACACAGGGATAGAACCAAAATTTTGCTGTGTTGAAAACAGCTCATCAAAAAGATAACACGTTGCTATCCCATCTCATTGAACATAAGAGCTTTCAAACTGCACAAGCAAAAAGGGTCCAGCAGCTTCAGTCACTTAATGACTCCACCTTACCTGTGTGAACACATCTCATTTGAGCTCAATTCCAAAAGTGGAATTATTTTATTATTTCCAAATAATAAAATAATTCCACTTTTATTTTTATTATTTCCAAATAATAAAATTCCATTTATTTTATTATTTCCAAAAGTGGAAATATTTTAACAAGCATCCTAAATAAATGCTGGCAGTAAGATAATACTGTGACATCTTTACAATTAGCATTGTGTAATTACACAACTGCATATCACAACAAATACAGAGCAGTCACAGAACAAAAATTGCAGAGAATTCGGATCTCCCAATCTATCAGAAACCTTCAGCATGATTATTTCACTCTAAAGTTTAACATGTGCACTTGCATAACATTGTGGAGAAGCTGTCCTCCAGCTGACAAGCTCAGTGAAAAAACATCATTCTGCCACAAAATGCTGAGTTGGAAGGGATCTCTGGAAAATACCCAGTCCTGCTAACAGGGTAAACTGGACCAAGCTGTCCACATCCATTCCCAGGCATTTTATGAGTATTTCCAAGTAGGAAACCCCACAATCTCTGTGGGTCACCTTCACAATAAACCATTTTTTTATGATGCTCAGATGGAGCTCCTTGTTTCAGTTTGTGCTTTCCTGCCACTGGAAAGCACTGAAAAGAGCTGGCTCTGTGTTCCTTCAGGTGTTTTGTAAGGTTCCCTCTCTTGTCTCAGCTGCCTCACCCTTTGCTCAGATCAGAGATGCTCCAGTCCCTTAAGCATCTTTGTGGTTGCTCACTGGACCCTCTCCAATATTATCCTGGCTCTTTCATCCTGAGGAATCTAAAACTGAACAAAGGATTCCAGGTATTGCTCACCAGTGCTGAGTAGAGAGGAACAATGGCCTGCACAGGATTAGGACAATTCTTGGGTGAAATATTTTAACAAGTATCCTAAATGAATGCTGGCAGTAAGATAATACTGTGACATCTTAGGCAGAAACTAAAGAAAACCTAAACCCTGAACAGAGCGAAAAGAATTCCATTTTGTGTAATCATTAATTGGGTGAATTTGAACAGTCTAAAGCTGTTGTCTAAGAGTGAAGTTCCTCAAACATGTATCAGGACAATTCACAGTAAACCAAAGCAGGTCAAACACTTTCTTGAGACCACCTGGAATTCTGAATCCAGATAAGCAGCCTCCAAAGAGATCTTCCCTGGGCTAATTTCAGGCCTCAATCCAGGTAATCACAATGTCTTGCATGCCATAATTTTAATTTTTTTTAATATATATTAGTTGTGGACCAATGTTAGAAATACTGCCTCCTGGAACTTGTTTTTTTCTGCTAAGTCTCTATCTACTGTGACTATTTGTATTAGTCTGCACTGGTTACATAAAACAGTGAGGGAGGATCTCAGTGATGAGCATATTTCAGAATGAATGAAATCCCTGCAGCCTTCTCTGAGACATCTGATGCTGTCAAAAACAGGTTTCAGGCAAAATATTATTCATTTGACACYGTTGATATGTTTTCTCTCAGCCACATTGTTCCAACAACAATTCCTCAACACTACCATTTGTTCATTCTCCCTAGGAGACCTCYCACCCTGGCTGTTCTTTGCCTTTACACATTTAACTGTAGAAGTGAAAATCTGGTGCCCTGCATGAAACAAAAATTTAAAATTCTTTAGATCACCTGGTAACTACAGCAACAAAGAATTTTCAGTCATGCTCCTGTGATCCTGGGCTGGAGTGGTCACACAACTAAAGGCATTATTATCCTAACTGAAGGACTTACCCACTGAAAACAYAGTCCCACAAAACCTTTGGTCTGGTAATTGAAAAGCTACACTTCAGAAACCATAACAGTAGTCATCAACAAGTTATGCAATAAAAAAACAGCTTGTCAGTGTGACTCACACGTAGGCTGATCACCAAAAAAAGGAGCAAGCCTTTTACAGCACAAGGTGTGTGGAATTGCAGCTAAGGATAACCACCTGGTGATTCTTACTCACAAATTACCCTGAAGTCCTTACAATTTGCTGTACTTTCAGGTTTAGATCAGCAAGAATGGTCCAAATTTTCTTAGTTTTTTATGACCCCCAAAAAATGGCTATTTTATACTAACCTATAGCTTATCATCTCCCCTCAGCGTACATTCTGACCAAACAGCTTCAGAAATGCAAATATTAATTTTCAACCCTCCCTCCAATTCCAAACTTGGTCTATAAGAACTTCAGTTGATTTCTTCCAGCTAGTTCTTCCCTGTTAGCTGTGCTCACTAATTTTGCATTACTTGGTAAATTCTATTTTATTCTATACATTAAAACCATCTCAAAGGTATTTAGCTACAGTAATCTGCAGTAAAAATTAAGAAGTGTTGACAACCATGCCAACACCGTTCATCTTCACCCAAAAGAGAAATTCAGAAAAGCAAAATGCTCTGTATATTCTCACTCCAAATGTTTGCAGATAAAGCAACAGAGCCTTTTCAAATCCACAATTCCATGCTGTCCTTTGGGAAACAGCCCTAGCCAAGCAGGGTCAAGGAGGTCCAATATTCCACACACAATTTCCCAATCAAAAGTACTCCTAATTAGTAATTACTAATAGGAACACCTTCCATGGAAGGATTTCCCAATTCAGGTATTGAGATTGTGACTCTACACAGAGTAACAACTCCAAACACTGATACAGCTCCACACAATATCACTCATGTATAATAAACTGTTGTTCATCAGCTAAGAGTGGATTCCATCTAGCCATAATTAATACTAATTAAAATTTCAGCTTGGSTGACCTACCCACAGAACAGCAATACTTCAGCTACAACTCCTTCCTATGGCAAGGACAGGTATATGACTGATTTCCTTTCAGCCTCATGAGCTAAATACACTCAGATTGCAATTCAAAAAAAGATTTAGCTGATATAAATCTAAGTGCTGTGGTCTTGTGCTTGTCTATGTCTGGCCTAAACCATTCCTGCTTTGCTAAATCCATGTTTTAGCATAAAACTAATCAGAGTGCAGGAAAGGAAAAGACAAGGCTATGTAAAATTTCTGCCATACTGGTTGGAAATACAGAAAAATGTCTGGCAAAACCAGGAAATTCACATTGCCAGGAGGAAAGAGGGCAATGAATCTCACAACCAATCAGTAGAGGAGAGGGTAAGACCACAAACAGCAATTCCCACAGCCTAAGTTGCCACAAAACCAAAGCCTAAGCAAATGTCTTGGTTTGCCTCATTTATTAGTAAAATATTCAACCTACTTGAATTTAGTCAACTTTTAGACCCATTTAAATGTATTTTGAAAAGCATGTGACAATTTGGTAATTTGCAAATATTGGCAGAAGGTCTCCTTTTTCCTTATCTTTTCAATCTAATTTTTTAACATYTGAAAATATCCTGTGACACAGTAACATATCCCAATCTTTGAAAGAAAACTGACAGTCATGCTCTGCTTTAAAGATGCTCTTTACTGTTCCATTAGGTTAATAATAATATGACAAACTCMCTTTAAATCCATACCACTAAACTGAAGAAATCTTAAAATAATTTTCAAGTTATTCAGTGAAATATTAACATTCAAAAACCAGGAAAAAAACCCATGCAATTATGCTGACGCTCATGAATACTTGCCCACTTTTAGCTTACTGTTTACTAAATGATTTGTGGATCTGTTTTTCTTTTTTAMTATAAATCATAGCAACTAAATGCCACATAAATAACTGCTGTCAGACACAAGAATGGGTAAGAGCACATCATCATTATCTTTACCTCTTTCACTTTGTTCCTCTTCTCTCGGATATCTGGGTCTGCTGGTTCTCCACTGTTTATCCCCACCAGGTTTGGTAAAGGAACAGGGGGCAGTGGYTTGCTGTCTTTCTTTTTCAATTCTTGTACTACTTTGTTCTTTTCTGTCTGAATCTCAGCTTGAATCTCATCCCGTGATTTCTTCAATTTCTCCTTTGCCTCTTCCAGAGCCTTTTCATGATCTGCTCGGATCTTATTTCTCAGACGTTCCTCTTCTTCTCTAGAGACACAAATGCTAGTCAGCATCTCATTACTAAAAACATATAACATCTAACATAAAACATACTAAAAACAGAAGCCACATCCCAAGTTGGGTTCCTCTAAGTAATTCTAATTATTCAGCCAAATGTATTGATTTATGTTAGTGCACAAGCCTATACTATTTTTGCCAACATTATTGTGGAAAAATTTATCATGGGAATTTTTTATATTGTCTTGTCCACTCAAGAATTCAGAGWGGAAAAGTTTTACATCCTGTATTTCAACTACAGGATATGTGCAGAGGCACATCTAGCAATCATTCATTTTTTTAAGAAATTAAAAAGGCTCTTCCTCGCCTTCTGGACAATAAATCAATCACACACAACTTGACAAGATCTGAAGTAGCCACTCCAAAAAAAAAAAAAAATCACAGCTACTTCTTTTATTAACAACCCCCACCACAGAATGTTTTCCCTTCAACTCATTGTTCCAATCAGTACAGTCCTTAAACCATCAGTCCAAAAGAAGAATTAATTATAAAGCCACTTAGGAGCATAAGAGCTTTTAGTAAAACATAATTTTGAAGTTCACTGTCAAGAAAACCAACATCATCTTGGTTTTAAGCACTATTTTACAGAGTGATCTTTAATGATCAGTTAAGGTTTTAAGATTTGCACACAKAATGTTATAAAGCTTGGTTTAAACAAGAGGTTATTCCAACAACAGACAAAAATGGCCCTTCCAGTCCAAAAATATTTCAAGGCATCAGAAAGACACACATCAGACTCTCAATATAGCACCACCTTTTCAAGCTTCTYTAAAATAAAGAGTTGCTCAATGACTAATGTAAGCCAAAAAAAGTTGTAGGGATTTAAAACAAGCACTAGGTTAAAAAAATACTTTGTTACACAAAGAAGACTTCATTAGCCCTTACATTTTTCTGACGTTTGCATTTAAAATAAATTATAGCAGCATTATTACAGTACAGTACATTATATCAGTACTAGAAATACAAAGTAGTATTTTTATAGATACACTGATGGAAATGCTCCCAAACTGAAGTTCTTCAGCTACTTTTCTCAATCTGTGTGATTCACACCACATCCATATTTCTTCCAAACAATAAAAAAACCAAAGGACTGAGCTCCTCASTCAAATCCAAGCTCATTAATACTGTCCAACAATATCAGTGCATCCATCCCTCCCTTAACTGAGGAGCAAACAAAAAACTTTCAAAGTGGAAAAACACTACTCTAAAAAGAGAAAACACAAGTAACACCATTTAGGGTAATTTTTACTTCTACTATGACCCAYTTACATGACAAAATAACTTCCTAAGTTACCCACACTGTTGTGGCAGCAATGTGCTCAAATATCAACAACAAAACCAGACTAAAATTTCTATCACCTGGAAAATTTGAAGCTTTGGAAATCTTTTCCAAGGTTAGCAGTGAACTTTGCATAAGATAAAACTAGAGAGAATGAGATCACCAGAATATCATTTCAAGTCATGCTCTCCTCAAGATAWGGCACACTGTACAAACAGAGAATGAGAAATCTGAAATCTTAATGAACACTTAAGAATCCAAATACTTCAGTGTGGGAATAATGTATTTTGCAGGTACATTGCTCATATTCAAAACTCAGTATCTGAAAGCAAGTGACTTTCTGACTAAATTGACCAATATTTTGTTAGTAGATATTGAAATTCTTTTTGCAAAGGATCAACCATCCTTGAAATAAGTGCATTTTTAGGGGGGAAAGGATAACAGTGTATCTCACAGCTTAATAAAAAGGTGGTCAAGGTATGTTTACATTAACCTAATTGCTCCATTGATGAATAGAAATGATTTTTGGCAAAACCTATGGTTAACTTGGAAGTCACCAAACACAATTTTCCTTTGTGAAAAAGATTAATGAAGTTTGAGTACTCACAATGAATCTGACTCAGTGAAACGAGTCACTGGTGATGTGTTTTATGCACCTTCACAACATTGTACAATCAAGTGGCAGGAAGATTTTGATTCTGCCTTCTACTTTTTTTTTTTTAAGTTTTTTAAGTTTTTTTAAGTTTTCAGTTCCAGGTGCTGCATACAACCATAATAAAAGCTCCATCACTCTATAAACTTCATCTGTTTCTAGATTCAAACTGGATCAAACAGCCATAAATTGGAAAACAAGTTTTGAACTCACAGTGTCTACCCTGCAAGAACCACTGTATAAATAAATAAATAAAAGCTGTTGATTTCTAGAGCACTATAATCCAATTAGAGTCATTAAGAAAGTTTGAATGGCACAGTCTGCTTTCCTTCAGTCACTCAGGAGAAAATACAAAGACTCCATAGAGATGAAAAAAATCCCAATGCTAACGGTATGATCAGCTCAAAGCCTTTCTTTCCAGGAAGTGACATTTTGAGATAAACATAAGAAAACARTAAAATGAAGAGAAAGGTCAACAGGTATTTGAAGGAGTTTACAGGACATAGTACAAGAATTTCTCCTGCAGACACCTATTCAGCATGAGGTACATGATATGTCATATTCTATGTGGCAGCTGAAGACATACTTTACCAAATATATTCCAGTATACAACCCTAATGAAAGAAAAATCACACCCTTAAATACCAATACCACATGTTTCTTCTGAGCTCTTAAGCAGCAAGAACTAAGTGAAAATATAGAATAAAGTTAAGAGAATGAGAAGACTTAATTCTATAAGTCTTATATTAAAGACTCAGAATTTATACTCTTATATTAAAATACTCAGAATTAAAGAAGAGACCTCAGCAGGATCAATCTAAATATATATAAGTTTGGAAAGAATCCCAGCATAAACACATACACCAAAATTTGTCAAACTGCTTCCGTATCCCACCCCCGCTTCCAAGCAATATAAGCAAACTCTTAAAATTTCAAGTAATTTGAGTAAATCTTTAAAACCTTTTCTAAAAGAAATTTACTGCTTTCTTCTAGTCATCCCAAAAGCTTATTCYAAAGTCCCAAGGGAGAGGTTCAAGTACCATGAAACTACAGCAGTAGCTCCTTTAAAACAAGCAATGTTATTAAAATAACCTGTGATGAAACTGTTTTTGCCAAGAAGAGCCATAAATAGATCAAATAATTAGAATCTGAAACTAGAAACAGGTGCAAGTTTTTTAAACAATCATTGGGATGAACTATTGCAGCTGCTGATAGGAACACTGCAGGCTCTCCAAGTGTCCAGGAGCTGCCTAAATATCATTCAGAGAAGACCACAAATTATAACATTTGACACCAAATCACCAACTGGAATTTAATGTGCTTTAATTATCCACACAGCAGTGAGTCTTCTGAAAAGCTTCCAAACCTCACTTGTCAAGACAATGACTTTTAACAAAAGTCTTTCTTATCTGCTGTGACACAACAGGCTCTTTAGAAAGCAAACTGCAAAAAAAAACCTCAAAAATGCTTTCAAATTTCTTTGTGAGATTAAAAATTAAAAAAAAAAAAAATAGAATAGAGCTAAAGAAAATGGACCACCAGTAACTGTTCTTGCCACTAAAAAGCAAAAGGAAACACCGTTTATTATCATCTGATTTTTAGAAGATGGATAGACAACTGTTATAGAACATAAATATTTTTGGAAGCCTGTCATTCAGAAACAACCTCCTGTGTGGAAATTCTGAACTTTTACCCTTTGGTAAAGCTTGATCTTGAACCAGAGGCTACTTTCAGAGACACTGAAACAAAAAATAGGCACTAATTTAAAAAGTCTGAGATTCAGCACCTAAAAAAAAATTTCTCACATTACCTACTTTTTACCCCAGTCTTTCAGAATACACAATTTTATAATATCCACACATATCTCAATCACATTACGTTCTCCCAGTATGTGGAGAATATACATTCATTTTTCCTTCAGATAATGAACTTACAGATCATTGGCTGGAAAGGAATAATTTTATTGGGAAAAAAAATGAATCCTGCAGGTATGAAGGTAATTTAAGTGTATCAAAAACACTGGGTCAAAGCATTGGTTATAAAGAATTTTCAAAGACTTTTAAGAAGAAACTTGTGCATGTTTTCATTTCATTTTTTATTTTAGGATTCTGTTGAATGCTGGGGTAGCTAAGTTAGAAACCTTGTCCCAGAAGAACTTCTATTGAGGCTTTATTTATCATTGTGAAAAGCTTGAGTTCACAAATATACTGTTTTGAATAAAGAAAAATAAGTAATGTTTATAAAGATTGTAGGATGGTGACCTGTGCAGAAGATGAGCTTTGAGTGATATAGAAAATTCAGTAACGCTTCAGACTCTGCAGCCACTTTTGTGATATTCACTGATTCACAGAATGTACCACTCTTATTTTCCTTCATGGCTTGTGAGGCTGGGTTTAAATTGGTTTTATTTTTTTTTCCTATTGGAAACTTAGTTTTGGGCAGTAGTAGTAGAGTAGAAATAATACTGAGAGCTTAATGCTGTATGTGGGAGTAGTCTGGTTCCTTTTAGTTCTGCTTGAGCATATGCTTCAGTATCTGATCTATGCTATCAACATCAGTGGGACTGCCTTGTCCTATATGGAAATGTTCTTATTTATAAAAAAAAAAAAAAATTAATTTAATAAAAATTCCTTCTTTAATAAGAAAAGGCAGAGATGATGCATTGGTCTTGCAGGAGAACTCGGTTCATTACTTCCTCAGTGTCACAGGAGCAGTAATGTATTATCCTCCATCAAACTGTTCTTTTTATCAGTAAATAATGCAGAATACAAGATGTTGGTCCATGTTGTCTCAAACTTGACTGTGGTGCTATATGTATGTTTAAATTTGTCTAACCACCAGTGACTTAGACTGGTTTATAGYAGAAAATATTGTGGTTTGACATTGYTAACTGTAGTGGGCTTCTGAAATGAATCCTAAATTAAAATAATGTTGCTGTTTTTTGGTGGATTGATTCCCACATCAAAATAAACCTTACATTCCCAAATGGAGAATTAACTTTTTATCATACCTAACTCTCTTGTTCAGTATTGATTTCCT